CACCCGCCACCCGCCCGATTCCCGTGCCTGATTAATTCTGCATTGCACTGCCTCAGCAGCTACCAGAGCCATTGCAAGCTCCACTGCTGTGTGGTGAATCTGCCTGCCCGAATCTGTTCATTAAGTTTTCACAGGTTCCTTGGGGAGAATCCGATTTTCCGCGGAGACGTAGCGTTTGGCAGTACACCTCCGCCATCTGCTGGCCAAGCACGGTAACTACAGGTATTTTAATTTGAGATAATAAAGGAGGTGAATTTTTCCAATTTAGGAATCACCAATTGATGGTAAGAACATCTAATTATAACATGGCAGGTAATTTAACACTGCAGGATTTTAGAGATTTCATTACCAATATGATGTATTATGCAGTAAAAGACAATTATGATATTTTTCATACATATATATGTGCCATGCTTGTGATTAGTGTATTAATACATGTAATCACTTGGAAGAAACATGAGCTTATGTTTTGGGAATTAGAATCAAAAATCCGGGAAAAAGGTGATTTAGTTACCAAAACAGATAATTTGGAATTTGATCAGAACAATCTTCGAGGCACAGTTAATTCAATATCTACTGCATTTATGGCTAAAACTGAGTCTAATTAGCTGGAACTTTCCAAATTATCAGAGTCAATTCAAAAGTTAGAGTTAAAAATTCAGGAATAAGGGGATTTGTTCAAATTTGACCAGGACAATCTTCGAGACACATTCAATTCGATGTCCACTACTTTTATGGCTAAGATGGAATCTAACCAGGAGGAATATTCAAAATTAGCAGGGTCAATTCAATCTATTTCTGATAATCATGGCAATCTAGCAGACTGAATGCCTTTTCTGGAAGAAAAAATAGATGCCTTTGGAGTTTTTAGGGAGGATGGTATGAAAGGCTTGGAATCGCGTTTAACTGAACAGTCCAAAGATTTAAAACAATCTTTAATGCAGAAAATCCAAGACCTTAATGAACAGTCCAAGGAATTGGAACAATTTTTAATGCAGGAAATCCGAGAACTAAAGGATGACATGGTTGCAAAATTTCAATCTTTAGAAGATACATCCTCTGAAATATCAGATGTTGAGTCAACAGATGCTAGGCTACCAGGAAATAAACGAAATATGGCTACTAGACATTCTAAGGTGGCCTTTCCAGTAACCGTAGTAGAAAGGCCATCATCACAGAGGAACCAATCTGGTTCCACTACACAGAAATGGGAACCTATTCCCATGAAAGAAATGAAATCCATTAAGCAAGCGATAATGACAGATGAACCCGTCTGGGTGGGTCAATGGCCTATGACATCTGAGAAGTTAGAGGCTTTGGAGAAGTTAGTTCAGGAACAGTTAGATGCTGGACATATTGAGGAATCAACTAGTGCATGGAATTCACCTGTTTTTGTTGTCAAGAAGTCTGGTAAGTGGAGAATGGTTACTGATCTTTGAGCCATCAACAAGGTAATTCAGCCTATGGGGTCTCTATAACCTGGCATTGGCCAATTATAGTTATAGACTTAAAAGATTGCTTCTTCACGATACCGTTACAAGAAAACGACAGAGAAAAGTTCGCCCTCACAGTACCTACCTATAATAATTCCCGATCGGTACAGAGATTCTAGTGGAAGGTACTACCTCAAGGTATGTTAAACAGTCCAACTTTTTGTCAATATTTTGTGAATAAACCTTTAGAAATAATTCGTAAAAAATTTCCACATTCGTTAATATATCATTATATGGATGACATATTATTGTCTGATTCAAATAAGGATACATTGGAAAAGATGTTTGCAGCAGTAAAAGAAACTTTGCCTCGCTGGGGATTACAAATTGCCCCAGAAAAAAATACAAAGAGGAGATTCTATTAACTATTTAGGTTATAAAATAGATGCTCAGAAAATTAGACCGCAGAAAGTACAGATCAGAAGAGATCGTTACCGGACTCTTAGTGATCTTCAAAAACTATTAGGAGAAATCTCTCAATTACAGATAATTATCGGTGTAGAAGGGCATGATTTGAAACACCTAAAAATGGCTTTAAAAGGAGATAAAGACCTAAACAGCCCACGAGTACTATCAGCTGAGGCTGAAAAAGAATTATAATGGGTAGAAAAGAGAATATTAGAAGCACATCTAGACCGTGTGTATCCAAAACTGGACTGTATTCTGGTTATTTTGCCATCTAGAGAATACCCCTCAGGAATATTAATGCAGAGGGAAGACATCATACTAGAATGAGTATTTCTGCCACATAAACAGAATAAAAAATTGAAAACATATATAGAAAAGATCTCTGATTTGATATTAAAAGGTAAGTTAAGGCTTCGTCAACTGACGGGGAAAGACCCAGCTGAAATTACTGTACCTTTAGCAAATGATGAAATTTCCTCCTTATGGAAGGATAATGAGTATTGGCAAATAGCTTGCAGTGACTTTTTGGGAACTATTAGTAATAACTATCCCAAAACAGAGAGAATCAAATTCATAAAGAAAACAATTTGGATTCTTCCATGTATCGTGAGACAAACACCTATTTCTGGAGTTCGTACCTTCTACACGGATGCAAACAAATCAGGTAAGGCAGGGTATAAATCAGGAAATATAAGTAAAGTAGTTCAAAGCCCTTACAACTCCATACAAAAGGCAGAGTTATATGCCATTCTCATGGTACTTAAAGACTTCACAGAGCCACTTAATATAGTCACAGATTCTCAGTATGCAGAAAGAGTTGTCTTGCACATTGAGACTGCAGAATTTGTTCCTGATAGCACAGAATTAACCTCATTATTTTTACAATTACAGGAAACCATCAGAAACAGGACTCATCCTATATATATAACACACATCAGGTCCCATACAGGTTTGCCAGGTCCTCTGGCACAAGGCAATGATGATTTGTTAGTAGGTAATGTGTTGGAAGCTTCAGAATTTCATAAGAAACACCATGTCAACAGCAAAGGCTTAAAGAAGGATTTTTCTATCACCTGGCAACAAGCCAAAGAAATAGTAAAAAATTGCCCCAGTTGCTCATTCTACAATCAAACTCCATTACCAGCATGTTGTAATCCTAAAGGTATTCATAGAAATGAACTTTTGCAAATGGATGTATTTCACTTCCCCGAATTTGGCAGTTTAAAATATGTACACCATACCATAGAAACATTCTCAGGATTCCAATGGGCTACTGCCCTCAGCTCTGAGAAGGCTGACTCTGTTATTACACACCTCTTAGAGGTGATGGCTGTTATTGGTATACCTAAAACGATAAAAATTGACAATGCTCCAGCATATGTCTCCAGCAAATTGGAACAATTATTCAAATATTATAATATAAAATATGTAACTGGTATACCTTACAATCCAACAGGACAAGCAGTGATTGAAAGATCTAACCAAACCTTAAAAGAGATGCTTCATAAACAGCTGGGGAGAACAAAGACCCCTAAACACAGGTTACATAGTGCTTTACTAACATTGAATTTTCTTAATGCTGATGAAAAAGGACAAACTGCAGCAGAAAGACACTGGACTATGGAGAAGACTTCTGAACTGAACCAACCAGTGTATTTTAAGGATGTTATGACTTTAGTCTGGAAACCAGGATATGTGTTACGTTGGAGAAGGGGTTATGCTTTTGTTTCCACAGGAGAAGAAAAGCTTTGGGTCCCATCTAAATTAATTAAGATTCGATCAGAGCAGAAAGCGTCTCAGGAGGAGGAAGGATGACAGCTCATCTACAAGGTCTGCTAAGTATAAGGAGACCTCATTAAAGGAAAGAGAAGTATTCTGTTTGTGTCTTTATAGGACAATTAGTTCTGAACAGTGAAAAAAAATACTAGGTATATGGATACCTAAAAAGAAAGGATAGCTATTCAGAGGACCACCAAACATGCAATAATGCGATGTGTTATCAATGTCTAAATCTCTGCATTTTGTTATTATAATTTCTATTTCTTCCACTTCTTAATATGCCTGAGTCCAAATTCATCTAATTATTGCTGGCTTTGGAGTTGGATTGGCTCTCCTGCTTTAAACCCAAGCATATTGTTAAAATGCAATTCGGACTTTCTGTATTATATCAAAGAGCCATTGATATAAGACAGAAACAACGACATAAAAAAAGATATACATATATGGGGACTGTCATCTGTGTATATTTGATTCTTTTCTAAAACTCTAATCTCCTTCATGTGTATTATCTTCCTTAGGGTTGCCTTTCCCAGTATTCATACACATAGAAGTTAAGAATTTCTGTGCTAACATTAATATTTCAGTTTTCCAGAGACAAAGGGATTTCTTGACAGCGATCTTCAACTGCTTCAGAAAGAGAATGTGGATTCACTTTCCCGACTCCGCCTGATTCGACTGGATACATCTAAACTGCCCCACATCATCGACCCCACCTGACAGGCACCATCCTGAAACCAGCTTGGAACTACATCACTTGACACATCGTCAGGCCAAGGAACTGATACAGTGCATCTTCTACAATCGGATCAGAGCTTCAGTCAAGAGCCTCAATCAAAATCTGAAATCTAATCCGGAACTTCAGTCAAGCCTCTCCTGCAAAACAGAGACTAACTGACCTATTTAAGACTCTTGTTACACTAACAATTTTTCCCACAGGTCCCCATGATTGTCATCGTCCCACTTCAGCAGGAAGTAAATTTGAGAATTCCACGTCCCCTCTCCCTACTATTGACATTAGAGGATAGTTTACACCTGTTAGTGTTACTTTGCAATTGTTTTAGGGTTGGGATTGGAAGGAGGTTTTCAGACTTAGGCATCCTTTTCAGATAAGTTTAGAATTTAGGTGGAATGGATATGTTTAGGATAAGTAGATTAAAACTTAATTATCACCCTCTACGTATATATGTTGTATATGTTTGAGTTTGTATCAAATTTAAATCTTCTATTTATACTAAAATGGGAATTGTAGGAGTGAACCCCAGAAAGCTATCCACCCATGAGGGCGGAGACATGTAAACTGACACAGGTAGATATAAAAGGAAGTGAAAGAAGAAGGAACTCCCTTTTTTCTCCTGGAAGCCAGCCACGCTTCTGACTCCTGGTCAGTGCGTCTCTCTCTCTCTCTCTCTCTCTCTCTCTGATAAATAAATATATTGTTTTCCCTTTATAGCCTCGATAATATTCTGTGGACATTACAAGTCAGCAGGAATCTTTTCTGTATGTCACCTTCAAACTGGGAACCTAGGATGTCAACACATCCACGCTTAGCAGCCAAGCTATATGTGGAATTATGTCTGTCTCCTTAACAGATTCTCCCAAGGACAGTATGTGTGCACATACAGCTTTACTCTACTAGGTGATTGAAGTAAAATATGAAACTTTTACAAATTTAAATAATCTATTAAATGTGAGACTAAGCAAAGCATGATTTGATACAGTTATTTGTAAACCTAGAGTTCGTGTCCTTATTATTTCATTTAATTTCTGCTTTGTTCCTTGGTTAAAGTGACCCCACATGCATTGTATATGAGTAGTTCTTAAATAATATTTTAATTCGGATCAAGTACATTATAGAGTTTGTTTTGTATTATTCCATTCTTGGATATAGTATTTAACTGTATACATTAAATAGTATAAGAAGCAGCACTATGTGGTATTTGAAGTATTGGGGAAATAATCAAAGTAATTAAAGTAAAAAAGATAATATTGACATACACATTTTTATATTTTTAGCATCACTGTTGTCTTACATTGTTTCTGTTGTCATTCACAACAATTTCAGATGAGATAAACAAGCCTCCTACTTTTTTCCTCAACCTTTAAAGAAATTCATATATCAGTAAGTATGTAAGCCTAATAGGCATTAAAGATTCTGTTCAGCATATTAATGCCAAGTACAGGTAAGCATACAATCATCTCTTATGTAATGTCTGTTGTGCATGGTTAATTCGTTCAAAGTTCAAAATAATTATTATTCACCATCTGAATCCATCATTAAGATGCTGAAATATTCAGAGGTTGAGTTGTAGAGCACTTGTACAGAAAATGTAGATTTCAAATTCATTTCTCAGACTTTATAAAGTTAGTAAGAAGGTCTTTATAGGACTCAAAAATAATTATATGATAAGAGTACATAATGAAGGATAAAAGCAAAGAAAACAAAATATAAAAAATGATAAAATGAAGATAAATCAAACTTGACCAAATGGTAGTTCTTTGAATATGAATTAAAATAAATTTATAGCATTGTAGTAGAAATATTTTAATTTGTCAAAACTTAGCTAACATGAATTTTAAAGTATTTCATTTTATCATATTTAATTACATATAAAGTAACTGAAGTAAAATAAAAGCAGTATTCTTTTAAATTTTCTTTTTTGCTTTCTGCCCACTTTTATTCCATTTTCAAACTCCTTTAAAACTTGCAACATTAATTGCTTAACATATTAAAATTCCTTTTATCAAATTCATTGAGGTTAATGTAAAATAATTTAATTGTTATAGTACATTAGTATGTTTAATTCCCATGTGTGTGATTTGTGGATGGGTGTGTATGATCACGTACAGGTTTGGTCCTTGCGCCTGCATCAAGGCCTTTGTACATACTAGGAAAGTATTCTCCCTTTGTATCTCTAACTCTAATGTTAACACCTTTAAATTTTTATTTTTATACACCTAACCACAGTTTGCTCTCCCTTCTCTCCTCCCAGTTCTTCATCTCACCTCTCCTCTGCCTATACCCATATTTCTCAGTTGTTTTCTAGAAGATGGCATGCCTCCCATGGATATCAACCAAAATGGCATATCAAATTGCAGTAAGACTAGGCTCCTCCCCTAGTTTTAAGACTGGACAAGGCAACCCACTATGACGAAAAGGAATGCAAAAAGCATGTAAAAGAGTGAGGGACAGAGCCTGCTCCACTGCTAAGTCTCACAAGAAGGAAATGCTATACCTTGTAACATGTATGTAGAGGGTGTAGGTCAGTCCCAGGCAAGCTCCCTTGTTAGTTCAATCTCAGTGAGCCTCTATGAGGTCTGGTTATTTGATTCTGTGATATTTCTTGAGATGTCCCTTACCCTTTTGGTTCCTACAATTATTCCTTGCCCTCTTCCACAGGATTACCTGAGCCATTCTGATTGCTTGGATTTTTGTCTTGCATCTGAATGATAACACTTTTTATGGTGAGAAATTAGTTACAAAATATGTCAAAAGCTCCAGGGATTAAAACTCAATACACTGAATATATATATTCAAATGCTTTTATCATTTTCATTTGAAAATAATCTTTTATCATTTTACATATCAATCCCCACTCTCCCCACCTTCTCATCCCATCCTCCATTAAGTCCTCAGGGAGGGCAAATCCTCCCATGGGGGGTCAACGAAGTCTGGCACATCTCTTTGAGGTAGGATCAAGCCTCCTGCGCTGTATCTAGGCTGAGTAAGGAATCCATCCAAAGAGAATGGGCTCTAAAAAGCCAGTTGAAGCACTAGGGATAAATCCTGGTCCCACTGCAAATGGCTTCACAGACTGCCCAAGCGACACACCTGTCAACCGCATTCAGAGGACTCAGTTCGGTCCCATGAAGGTTCCCCTGCTGTCAGTCTGGAGTCAGTGAGCTCCCACTAGCTCAGGTCAGCTGTTTCTGTGGGTATCCCAAAATGGTCTCGACACCTTTGCTCATATTATTGCTCCTCCATCTCTTTGACTGGACTGGGATAGCTTGGCCCTGTGCTTAGCCTTGGATGTCTGCATCTGCGTCCATCATATGCTGGATGAAGGTACAATGATGATAATTCAGGTAGTCATCAATCTGATTACAGATCAAGGTCAGCTCATGTACCCTCTCCACTAATGCTTAGTATCTTAGTTGTGCTCATCTTTGTGGATTCCCAGGAATTTCCTTAGTCCCAGGTTTCCTACTAGCCCCAGAATGAATACTTCAATCAAGATATCTCTTTCCTTATTCTCCCTAGAGTATCCCAGCCTTTCAAAAACCTTATTGTGTCTCTTTATGTGCTAAAATTCAATGTAGCTTTGAAAGTATCATTGGATATAATAGTCAGTAAATAATGTGACAACTGTCCCTTAGAATAAGGAGTTAGGGGTAGGGACTAGTATATGTCTATGACAAATTTTCCTGGAAATAATTGGCTGTGTAGTTGCTATGATAGTGTATTAAGTCTGTTAAATAGCCTGTTCAGAAAAATCCTTCAGGGGAGAGTAGAAAGGAACATGGTATTGGTCCCTCTGAGGGTGGGCATTTGTGCATATTATCATATACCTACCTATAAATATTTTGTGGAGAGAAAAGATATTTACTTATCATATATCTCCAGTGACTTTTTCAGTGTAAGGGCTGACTTTGATTTTAGAAATATTTTTGTATAGTAAAGTGAGTACTAGTGACTTTTTAAGAAAAGAATCTTTTCAGTCAATATTTCAGTCTCCATCAGGATTCTAAATGGGGTCTTCTGAAGTAGTGTATGTGGACTTTCTTCTCTCTCCATAGTTTTTATAACAGACAGCAACTGTGAAAGAATCTAAAATACAGCCTCACTTGGAAAGACTCAGTCCTCCAATTTGCATATTGCGGACACTCTTTCATATGATTCATTGTCAAAGTAAATCAGAACTGAATAAGAGAAAATAAACTATGAGCAATATGTTGGAAACAATCTCTTTATCTCCAAAAGAAAGGGTAAGTTTTCAAATATAATAAGCTATTTTGTTCATATTTTCCTCCTTTTTAGATCAACTATTTTCATTTTGAATCCTAGAAAATGTAAAATAACAGAAACATGTTTGGTTCATTGATGAGAAGTTAATAGTTTGTTTTTCTTTATCTAAATCTGGCCTCTGACACTGGACAAAGTCTCAGGTTGTCTACACACTTCTTATTCACCAAGTGTAGGGTCAGGACAGGAATAGATGTAGGCCCTCAGGGTATGGAATCAGTTTGCACTAAAGCTGCTGAGACAGTATGATAATGGGGATGAAATAAGTGTTGGGAACTTGCATAAACTTCCTTTACAATTCATCCTGTGGATTTAATGTAAGGGCTAAAACAAGGAATAAAAGACAGAAAGCAACTCTACTTAAATCTTAAAACACAGTATCTTACTTTATTTAACCTTTTATGAATTTTGGCCTGATTCATCTCCTTATCTTCCTCTTCTTACTCTTACTAACAGTGATAATATTTTCCTTTTGACTATGGATCTTCACCTATATTTAACAGGCATGAATGCTGTACAGATATAGGGGTTAGAACACTTGGGGAACAAAGCCTTGGGTCTTCTCTGGCTCTTGTTTGACAGGCACACGTTTTTGTAATATGTGCAGTCTGGAACAGCATAAATTTATCTTATCTGTCTTATTTGGGAGTGCAGAACTGTCTGAATAAATAGTGCTACAACAAAAATGAGACAAGTATTCTCGAGGGATAAAAATACTCAGAAAATATGCACAATACAAAGTTTACAAAGGAAGTATATTAGTTACACCATACTAGACTCTTTAAATATAGATAGGCTTTGCTGAGGAAATGGTATTTACACTGGGTTCTCTGTCCAGAAAGAAACAGAGACTAGGGGTTTTAGAAAAGGAAAGATCATCAGGCTTCCACATGTGAAATGTACAGAAAAAGTGACATTCTAGGTGTGATTACATGGAATGGAATTGGTGACACTGGAACAGTGATGCTGAAAGCCACAGTGAGTATCTCAACCACTGTGTTTGGAAGCAGTAGTAACTTTACAGCACATGAGCCATTTCATCTCACCTGCCCACTTGTCCAATTATAGCGATGAAGGAAGAAGGCAGAGGGGAGAGAATACACAAAAAGTCAAGCTAAAAGTCTAAATTGTGGTCCTTGTTTTCTGATTAGGGACATAGAAAAGATGTATCACTAAAGGCTAGCAGTGATTTTATTAATAAACTTCTTGGATATTCAAATTACTTTCTATATTAATTAATAGATTATATAGATGAGATATTAGGATATAGTAACTGTAAAATGTTGTGCCAAAGGAATCATAGCCTACACTATACAAATATGAAAATAATCTTTTATCAAGAAGAGGCTAAACATTCAATTTTGCTGTTCTTCTAGAAAATAGTTGAGGATGAGAACTTCCAGTCCTTCTCTAACATAGGGACTCTAGTGGGGAAGTCAAACTTGAGACACCCTGCATGGCAAATCTGCTTTTTTGGCTTTCAGCATCAATATTACTAACAGACTTTCACTAATAATTTTGTATGTGTTTGTTTAATTATACCATCTGTAGAACAATATTTTCTCCTCTGTGTTTGAACATTATTTATCCAATTTTACCACACCTAATAAGGAAAGTTTATATTCTTCCAGTCCACACACATTGCAAAAACTTGTTTGTTTATTACGAGCAGCCAGGTATGACCCAGGATGAGAAGCAAAACCTTTTAGGTCCAAGTTTTCTAAACCCTGCAATTTTTCAGGACAGCTGAATTTATTGTTTTTTTACTAAAAGGGGAGAACAATAGATGTCTGTAGCAAGATAACCCTGGCTTTTCATTAAAACTAAGCTCATAAGAAAATCCCAGACAAAAATTATGAAATTCCAATGAATAATTCAGTGATTTTTTTATTTCAAGAGATAAATGAATCTTTGCTTTAATTTTTATTGCATTTATTTCTCTGTGGGTCTGTCTCTGTGTCTATCTCTCTGTGTATCTGTCTCATCTCTGTCTTTCTGCGGTCTGTGTGTGTGTGTGTGTGTGAGTGTGTAGCATGGAACTAACATATGTGAAAGTCAAAGGAAATTTTACAGAAGTTTATTTTCTATTTCTGTCATGCAGGTTGTTATAAGGCTCAAACTCAAGTCATAGTCTTGGTGGAGGCACCTTTTTCGGCTAAGTAACTCACCAAATCCTGGCAAATAAACTGTAGTAGTGAGTATTTTTATGTTTTGCATCTTCAATTTTATAATTTACTAAGGAAAACACACCCAAAATTCATCACATTATTTTAATGAACCTCTTACAAGAAATCACTTAAATTTCCAAACTTTTGTTTTTGCAGTCTTGTTTTCTAGGTGGAATGTATAAATTAGTTTGCCTAGAAATGTATTTTTCTTTTCATTGCCATTAAATTATGCTTTCCTTTTGTTTGTCCCAAATGATGATTTTTCTCTAATTTTCATATTACTGGAATCTACACTATTAGAGGTGTTCTATTTCAATTTTACCTTCATTACAGAGATCCTATATTCAAGATGCTATGTAGTTTTGTTCTTTGTATTTTTATAGTTCATAATATCATAAAAGTTACTTTTATCATGTGGCCACTACAGAAAAGCTATCACGATCTTCAAGCACGATGTTTATCTTAGCCACTTGTAAGGAAAACTTGGGTTTGACACAATATAAAACTTGAGCAAATAACTTGAATTACAAGTTTTATGGAAGGGAATACTGTGACTGGATAATCAGTAATGAAAGTCACCACAGAAATAACACATCTCTACATGATTTGCTTATATCGAGTCTAGTAACCCAGCATAGGTAGATTGTTGTATTTCTCATAATTACATGTAGATACTGTGGTGTTCGAGCTTTATGTCCCTAGTGGGCAGAGAAGTGATATTCAAGTGTGCTCATGGAGGTGCCACACTCCTTTCATTTGGCCTCAATGACAACACTGAGAATCTAGCTCAAATCTGACATCTGTCATTTGAGGTTTTATTTAATATAAGTAATGTCAAGTTCATCTGTGAGCATTATATCACTTGGGAAATTATTTTTTCTTTCTGAAGATGATTTCTGCTATTCTATTGGTAACTAATAGAACCTTAAATAACTAATTAATTGATTTACATTTATCTTTTTTTTTCTTGAAAAAAGAATTTTTTCATACAGGATATTCTGGTATATTTACCCTCTCCAACTCTTCCCAATTCTATCTACCTTCTCACCCACCAAATTCACACCCTTGTTTGCTCACTGTCCTTAGAAAACAAATAAGTTCTTTTTTTTTTTTTTTTTTTTTTTTTTTTTGGTTTTTCAAGACAGGGTTTTTCTGTATTGTTTTGGAGGCTATTGGTCCAGCCCAGCCTGGAACTCACAGAGATCCGCCTATCTCTGCCTCCCAAGTGCTGGGATTAAAGGCGTGCGCCACCACTGCCCGGCTTAGAAAATAAATAAGTTCTTAAAAGAAAGATAACAACATAAAATAAATTAAAATAAAATAAAAACAAATAAACATCCATTGAACAAAAAAAGCAAACAGAAAAAGAAAGTAGCCAGGTCTCAAATGTTACAGTAGGACGGACTGTGTCCAGGTAATCTTATTCATCCTTTGAAACAAAAGATAATTTGGAAACAGTAAGGAAAGAGTGTTATATTTTAAGGAATATTTTATAGGACTAAATTAAAATAGAGGTATTAGCAAATTGGACTATAAGGCATGCGAAGATACCATAAGAAAATAAATAATTATAGACAAATACAAACCATTCTTAACCAACAAATCTCATTATTTTGCTAGGTTGATATCTATTCATGAAAATATCAAGATTGAAAAATGCCTTTTAAAATGAGCAGAAGTTTGACATTTTCAGGAAAAATATGAAAATGAAAGTTGTTTCCATAAAATTTGTATGAAACATATTTTATCAATCAACTAATATAAAATATATAAATATAAAATAGTATCACAAGAAAATTTTGTCATAGAACTTACTTTTTCTGAAAATTCATCAGTACTTAACTCTAGTCACAATTGTATGTAAGGTAAGGATACACAGAACCAAAAATATAAATATACCTGTAAATCTGTCTAGAAGTATATATAATCATGATGAGAAATAATTCTAAAGTAAGTTAATATTTAATCAAGTGATATAAAGTATTGGAAAACAGCTAATATTTACCAAAAGCAATGATTAGGTAACATTGTGCTTCAGAAATTGCTGCTTTATAAAATTATTGTTTGTGAAAATAAAACTATAAGCAGCATGCATCTCAAAGAAATTATGTATGTAATACTACTCTATTAAATTTGAATTTATGCTTCAGATTGTAAAGTATAATATAAAAACATGTGGTCAGTGAGATGCAGGAGGTGAAGAGCTCCTGCCATGATTGACAACCTGAGATCCATCCAATGGACCCACATAGTGGAAGGAGAGAATCAAAACCTCTGACCTTCACATGAGTGTGATGGCATGAGTACACATGCAGGCACATACACATACACACACACACACACACACACACACACACACACAGAGGGAGAGAAACACATAAATTAACATAATAAAAGACAATAATAATTTTTTAGAAATTCTAGGTCAAAGTTACAATATAAAATTACATGGAAGAGTTTTTTTCAATAATCTAATATACAAATGTTTAAATAAGCAATAGAAACAAAGCAAAACATAACACTACAACAATGAAGGTTTTCACATAATATTGGGACAATATACAATTCACAGTATATATAGGTAAATATAAAAGTATATATGGACATATGTCATTTTAAAGAACATTTTTCAAGTTTAATAGTATCAAAAATATTTAATTTAAGTTCAAACTTACAGGTAGAAAAATTTAAATTTCTAATGGAATAAACCTAAGTGTAGCAAAAATATTATATAAATTACAGTTTTCTTTGATTATAATAATCTTAAAGAATCATCCAAATCCTTTTTTATCATGGTTATCATAAAGTGACATATTGAATATAAGAGGTAATAGTAAAATATGATTAAATAAATTTTTAAAGTATGATTTATCCAGGAGAAAAAAGACTAGGATAGTAAACACAAAGGTGAATGAATTGAATTGAGATTTTTGTTTTAATGGGATTACTAATCTTAGTGGTTAGTTGCAATAAGTATTTCCCTTCTCATTATAGAGACTAGGTAAGAAATTAGCAATGGGGTGTATGTTTGTATGTATATATGCATCTATTCATTTTGTCATACACATGAATATATGCATGTACTCATTGAGTTACTAACTTCTTCAAAACATTCAGAATGAGTTAGAGAAAGTATATGTGCTCATAACTGCCCAACAAAAACATTTTTTCCTAAGTTTCTAAATCACTAACTCACTTTTTCAAAGAACAAATTCTACACTTTGGAATTTACACAAGAAGCAAGGTACTCGAACAACAGTTATGCTTTTTAGCCCTCAAGTTTAAAAGTTTTGATCCAGTCCAATAGCTTCTGAGTCTATGGTAAATATCTTTGAGACCCAGGTATCTATGCTGAATTTTTAAAAAGTGGACTTTGGGGTAACTGAAAAACTCAGGGATTACATGACAAAGGAAGTTGTAACTAACAGTCTGGGGTTGACCAGGACACTGACCTAATATGCCATTTCTTTTTCTTGGCAGGTTAAACATTTGTCAGGTACTTCCTACCTTCTACGACCATGATGCATAACAATAGTGTGACTGAATTCATTTTGTTTGGGCTGACACAGAATCCAGTAAAACAGAAGGCAGTATTTGGAGTCTTCTTGATTCTTTACCTTATGACTCTAATAGGGAACTTTCTCATTGTGGTGACCATTAAGATAAGTCAGACACTTGGGAGTCCCATGTACTTCTTTCTTTTTTATTTGTCCTTTGCTGACGCTTGCTTCTCTACAACTACAACCCCTAGACTGATTGTGGATTCCCTTTCTCAGAAGAAAACCATTACCTACAATGAATGTATGACTCAGGTCTTTGCAGCTCACTTCTTTGGTTGCATGGAAATCTTTGTGCTCATCCTCATGGCCTTTGATCGCTATGTAGCAATCTGTAAGCCTCTAAGATATACAACTATAATGAGCCAGCATGTCTGTGGTATATTAGTGATTCTTGCCTGGGTTGGTTCTTGTATCCACTCTTCAGCACAGATTTTCTTGGCTTTAAGTCTACCATTCTGTGGTCCAAATGTGATTGATCACTATTTCTGTGATTTGCAACCATTACTGAAACTTGCCTGTATGGATACCTATGCTATAAATTTGTTAGTTGTGTCTAATAGTGGTGCCATATGCATGGTAAGTTTCATACTACTGCTTATCTCCTATATTGTCATTTTATACTCTCTGAGAAACCACAGTGCAAAAGGAAGACGAAAGGCACTTTCTACTTGTACTTCTCATTTCATTGTGGTGGTCATATTTTTTGGTCCCTGTATATTTATCTACACACGTCCACCAACTACTTTTCCAATAGACAAGATGGTGGCTGTGTTTTATACAACTGGGACACCTTTGCTCAACCCTCTTATCTATACTCTAAGGAATGCAGAAGTAAAAAATGCCATGAAAAAATTATGGTGTGGTAAAGTATGACTTCGGTTGATAAACAATACTTGGCAATTCTAGTGTATAGACCCTTAAGAGTTGAGTTTTGATACATAGCCTGGAGAATTAAAATATTTCTGAGAGTCTATAGTTAATATATCTGTCTTGTGTATATGTATATAAACAATATCCTGGGACCAGTGAGATGCCTTAATAGTAAATGTTCTTGTCCTCAAGCCTGATGACTTGAATATAATCCTTGGAACCCACAAGGTTAAGGAGAGAATAAACTCCCATAAGCTGTCCAGTGACCTCCTCACTTGTGTCATGTTGGGTACAGACACATAAATAAGTAAACACAGAAGTACATGAAATAAGAATTCTGAAAGTCGTAATCTGATTCAATCTTCAATATAGATAGAAAATTAATCATATACATGTACATATAGATAGGTAAATAATTAATTGGCAAATAATTGCATATAAGTGAAAGTATATATATTAATTACTTTTAAAGATTTTATTCTACTGTATTTTAAACACATTTATAAGAAACCATTAAAAGCAAACTTTTCACTTTGCCAAGCTAAGGATTAAAAGGATGATTTTAGAAACAATAATCTGTGTACATTCTTACCTCGCTGGGCGATTTACAGTGATGGACAATTGAACTGTAGTAAAAACTTGAAAATACACCTGAACCCAGACTTTCCCCCAAAAAGTTAATTGACCTCCTGTGGATGGTGGTGGGAGGAGCCTTTCACTTGGATGTGAACTGGAGTGTTTTTCACATGTCATTGGAGAAGTAGGGCTAGGAAAGGGGAAATTTAGGCAGCTTGAATATACAGATCAAGAAAGAATAATATTGTCTAATAGGGTGAAAGACAGACACATAAGGATAGAGAGGGGTGGTTGGGAGAGGCATAGAAAGACTTATTCTATCTGGGTGGAGAGAAAGAACATCATCATCATCCTTATTGCTTATTTCAGCTATGTGAATATTTGGAGGAAGAAATGAACTTTCTGGTTAAGAACACATTGTTAACCTGGAATAGGTTAACTTCTTAGTACCCCATGAGTACCAGAAATGACACAGAGAACAGGATTTGTTTTCTGGCTTTAAATAGTTCATGAAAATTTATAATTTATATTTCAAAGAGAGAAAGTCAAAGCTAGAGTTTACCCCCCTTGGGCTTTTCACTATTTGAATATTTTAAAATGTGTAATTTCATTTTCCATATAATTTAATCAATATTATTGTAATTCACACTCACTCTGAAGTTCTTCCTCTCACAATAAAATAAAGCTATGCTTTTTCACTGTCTCAGGTTATAAATTATATTGATACCCAAAAATACCACATCAAGTGATAATGATCTTCTGGAAATCAATTCATTGATAAGAAGCTTGGTTAACATGCAGAAGGCCCTGGATTCCATCCTGAGGAAAAAAAAACAAGGAAACAAAATATAGGAGGTGATGAAAAAGGCAGTGTTCTGTGTCAATAGAGCATTTCCCATTTGAACATGGGGGTTATCACGTCACAAATTTTTCAAATAATTTCATTATGAACAATTGATAGCAGAGTAGGCATTGATACCTCCTATTCACAGATGTCAGTTTTGTCTATATACTTTACAGATAAATATTCATAATTTTTATTATTTTATGTCCTTGATTTTTGTTTTCAATACCCATGGAGATTTTTAAATATAATTGCTTTTAAGTAAGTCATAAAACAAATAAACATTTATTTCTTATCTTTGGCTGTTCCTTCAAATATCATATTGCAAGAAAGACCTCTTTGTCAGTCTTTAAATGCAAATTCATAAGGCTTCATGAAGTCTCCTCACTGTTAGGTAAACTTGGAGCTCCATATCCAGTAGATTTAGATAAATCCTCCATCAGAAGTTTACATGCTCAGTTCAAATGCACTGATGCCAGCTGTAATGTTGATTGTCATCATGCAAAATTCTGAAATCACCTAAAAGGTAGGTCTCTGAGCATGCCTGTGAGGGATGTAGCTTATGTTCATTTAGATGGGAAAGCACACCTTAACAGTAGGTGACAGAATTCCAAGGCCTGGGGTCTCTTGGACTGAATTAAAAAGGAGGAAGATTTTGTGTTTTTACTTTCTTCTTCCTGACTGTGGATGCAAAGTGATTCGAAACCATGGGCTGCTTCCATCATGATGCACCTGCTATGATGAACTAGAGTCTCAAACTGTGAGACCAAATAAACTATCCTTCATTTAAGCTAATTTTGTTTTAGTAGTTTTTCATAATAATGTGAGTAATAACTAATAAAAACCAAGTAACCATCTGCCTTCCATTGCTATTGGCCTACAAAATAGTACCATAATCTTGGAATACTCCAAATAACTAGGTAGTTCAAAAGATTGATAGTGTTACCAGCACAAGCAATTTATAACTGTTAGAGATGGTGAATATGGCCTTTCCATATTTTGATCATTACACACAGTGTATGTGTTAAAGCAGCACTTTACTCAATAATTTTTGTAATTATTATGTGACCAATAAAATATATACAAATATTAAAAATGAAGGTTTCAAACTTTGTTGCCTTCAAAGTGTTAAAAGTTGCTCTCCATCTTTGGCTAAGGTCTAGGATATAAAACTGAGAAAGACAGACAAGAATATTTAAGGAGACAAGTGAGGGAGAGTAATGTAGAACACAGGAAAATCTTGTCTGATGATTTATAAACTGACTCATTGACTCTGGACATGGCAGATATTGATGGGTGAATACTCTGCTTCCTCTTTCAGATGTTTTGAGGCCTCTCAAATATGACATTTCTAATTATATACCCTTGATATAGAGACTGAACACATTCTAACACCTACTCAAAATGCTGCGTGTTTCCACTCAGGCTGCTTCTACAAGACTTCTTTGTGATTCCCTATGAACAGTGAATGGCAAATATGCATAACTCTCTAGCCCTGAGAAACAAACACTGTTAGTAATGAACACTGTCATTACAGAATAGTGTCAAGGAGAAACTACCATGCATATCTTTTACAAAGTCAACAAGTGACTACTCCTGCCTACATTTTTATGATCTCTGTCCTTCGGATTCATCAGTGGGCTGGGTTTCAGACTAAATAATAGGAATAAAAGAGTGATAGTCCATCTCTCACACACACACACACACAAACACACAGAGATACTATGAAATGATGATCAATCACATCTTTAGAATAGAATAATTCCTTTGAATATAGTATTACAAATCATCCTGGCACATGCTGCTCATCATTTGTCCTCTTTCTCTCTTGAATTGGAAATTCACATTTTTTCATATACTGCCATTATCATGGAAACACGCAGAGTGGCTTGAAGATTTTTGTGATTTCATATTGTGTCTACTCAAACTTTCAAATTTAATTCTCAATGGCATAATAAATATTGATGTATTAATATGATGAATGCCAGCTATTACTGTGTGGTGATTTGTTTCCATTGAAAAAGGAGCCGCACATTAGTCCTATGAACATACTTTGCTAACCATTATCTTCAAAAATATATTTAATGGGAAAAATCATACTATTCATTAAAATTAATAAATTTGTTCATGTTTTGTTTTGCAACAGAATCATCTCTGTCTATGCAATTCTGTATATCCTAGAACCAATTTTGTACATCAGGATACCCTTGAACTGCAGACATCCTTTTACCTTGACTTCCTGAATGCTAGGATTAAAGGCATGAGCTGCCATGCCCAGCCTCCAAAAGCAATTTTAATTCTGTTTGCTAAATTAGTAAGCAAAGCAACAGGTGATTAAAATTTATAGAATGAAGTTGAAAATATTTTGAAAGTAAGAATTAGCTAATATACCATTTCTTAGGTTGACCTTTATCAAATTAGGAATCCCTACCTAATTAAAAAATAAGTCAAGGATCTCACTTTAAGATGTGATTGTTTGCATTACAATACTTTTATTGTATTGTATTTTTTTCATTGTTATTATGATTATGAAAATTTATTATTTATCCTGAATAAATCATAGGAAAAAATAATATTATCTCAAATTTTATCTCTTAGTATAATCTTGACAATCTCCCAGCATAAAGCAGCTTCGTAAAAGTGAACATAGAATTCTACTTAATAGTCTCTCTGATACTTGGGTTATTTTTAATTACTCAGTCAATTATTTAGATAATCATAAAATGCATCTTTGATCATTATTTGGAGTAAACAAATATATTGAGATAAAGAATAAAAACATTTACTGAGGCCATAGCACATTGGTAAAGCACTTATCCATGATGGGAAAAATTCAGTGGCCAATATCCACTTTGTTGAGAAAATTAATGGCAGCAAAGGAAGAGAATATATTGATGCAGGCTGGCTTCACTGAAAAACAAAACTCAGTTTTACAGTTAATATTTTATTCAGGCAAATTCATTGAACATATTTATGAATTCAAAACATTGCTTCACACAATTGTATAATGTACTTTAATCATATTTTGAACTCTATTACCTATCAGCTTGTCCCTCAACACTCCACCTATATTTTCTTCTTTTTTCTGAATAGTTCTACCTTTCTTTTCATATTACAAACGTATATTTCTTTTTCATATTATAAGCTATACTAACCTAGGCACATATGTTATAGAGACATTAACTCAAGGGATCAAAAGTTATCATAGCATTAAGGGCAGCTGGAGAAAAAAGAGCGTGGTTGATGTCTGGTAGTAAAGTGTTAAGGAATATAAGATGTTCTTTTTACAAAAAAAGCAGTAGAAAGATGGCTAAACAGAATTTATGGAAAGCAAGGATTTGCAAAGGTATTGTGAAGTCAAGGAAAGGTATAATTCTAGAAAAGCTATAAATCTTATATTTTAAATAGTCTAAATCAAAGCAGATTTTAATATCTCTATTAACATAAAACACACTTTTGATTTCTAAGAAAGGACATTTTTATTCATTATTGATTTCTGAAAGAAAAACTATTTCTTATGAGAATCATAAACCTTAGCAAAAAAGAGAATTGGAAAAGAAAACCTACTTCCTCCAAAGTTTCTTCATTGCATTTTTCATCTCAGTATTCCTCAGAGTATAGACAAAGGGATTCAGCATGGGTGTGACAATTGAATCTGACACAGCCATGGCCTTGTCGATAGGATAGGTAGACACAGGTCTCACATATAAGAAAATACATGGCACAAAGAATAACACAACCACTATGAAGTGGGAGCCACATGTGGAGAGAGCTTTTTGTCGCCCTTCAGAGTTATGAATCATTAGAGAACATAGGATAATTATGTAAGAGGCAATTAGAATAAGGAAGATGGCCATACACATCACCCCACTGTTAAAAATGACAATGAGACCGAGGGCATGGGTGTCCATGCAGGCCAATGTCAGCAACTGAAACAAATCACATATAAAGTGATCTATGACATTGGGACCACAGAAAGGTATTTGATACATGAAAAGAAGCTGAATAGTTGCATGTGTAAATCCCCCTACCCAAGCTCCTCCCAACAGCATGCAACACATGTGAGGATTCATGGTGGTCATGTAGTGAAGAGGTTTACAGATAGCCACATAGCGATCATAGGCCATCACAATTAGCAGAATGATTCCCACACCCCCAAAGAAATGTTCTGCAAAGAGCTGGGCCATGCAGCCTTCAAAGGAAATGGTAGTACTTTCAGAAAGGGAATCTACAATCAGCTTAGGGACAATGACAGAAGAATAGGTAACATCGACTAGGGACAAAAAAGTGAGGAAAAAGTACATTGGTGATCTCAGACTCTGACTTGTGACCATGGTCACTATGATGAGCACATTTCCCAGCACCATGACCACATACATGATTAGAAACACAGCAGAGAGCAGTTTCCGCAAGTGCCAGTTCCCTGTAAGACCCAAAAGTATGAACTCTGTCACATTGTTTTGATTTCCCATTTATGTTGTGATTAGCATTCCAGCTCATAATTGTATAACCTAAAAAAGAAAGTGTGATTTAAAATTAATCATTATTAGGCTTCTAAGTCATTAGGTCTCATATTGATTTACTATATTGTTATCCAGTCTGCACATATGGTAGAATAATTTTTCTTTGAAATATAATAATATAGGCCAGTATGGTGACCCATGCCTGTAATCTCAGCACGTGGAAGTGGGAGCCAGGAAGAGCCAAAGTTCAAGGTCATGGTCATCCTTGGCTGCATAGTAGTTTGTTCCTGGTTAATCTACATTAGACTCTGTCTCAAAACAAAACTGTTCTTTCAAATTAAATGGATTCTTCTCTCTCCCTTGATGCTTATGGTAATTACCAGTGTGCAAGCTGTTGAACTGTATAGATGGTTAGGCTTCACTTGAATAATGAAAAGACTGGGGCTCACTCGGTTTAGAAATATTGTGGTGTCAGCATATGGATAGTACATTCTGACTTCATATGTAAGAAAATTCAGAAAATTGACTTAGTCTTTTTTTATTTTATTGAAAGTAGATTTTTCATACAATATATTCTGATTATGATTTCCCTTCCCTGTATTCCTTCCCATTGCTCTCCTCCTGCCCTATCATCAGGATTCATCCCCTTTCTATCTCTCCATGCAAAACAACTGGACACTTATCAGATAATAATAAAATAAAATGTAAGGCAATGTAAAAGTAGACAAATCAAAATAAGCAAAACGAATAGAAGGAAAAGAGCTCAAGAAAAGGCACAAAAACTATAATGATGCAGAGACATACTTGTGTGCATATTCAGTAATCTCATACA